AGCCCATTCACCGGATTCGAACCTCGGACCGAACTACTAGTGTTCAGTCTTTACCGCTTGGCCGCTGGTGGGTGTACTGAATGTCAAATATATATATATATATATATATTAAAAAGTAATCATTTTAATATATTAAAAGTAACACATTTTGTTAGATATAATTTTTTTTTAATATGTTAATAATTATAATGCATTTCACATAAAAATGCAGAAAATTTCAGTTAAAACTTACCATAATATAATTTATAAATAAGATCTTGTTTCAGATTAATTTGCAGATAAATGACTTAAGCCAGTGATTCTCAACCAGTGGTATGCAAGAAAAAAAAATAAGTGGTACATAAATAAACAAGGTATTTTGAATTATTAAATTCAAACTATCCAACTTCCTTTTTAAATTTTTTTTCTTTAACACTCGTAAATTTATGCAACGTGAACTTTATTCAAGGTCAACAGCTGCCCACAGACTTTAGCAAAATACACCTTTTTTATTTTCACAAATATTCTTTTAGCCATAGGCAAAAAAAAATTTGTCATAAATGATTTTAAAAAGAGGAATAGAAATGGATGTTGTATGTTAGGAAAAAAAAATTTCCTGTGAGAAGATATCATATTAACTCTTTTCCAGTTGATCAATTTATTGGCATGTCTACACTTTATGTTGCCACAGTTTCCGGGCTCAATTAGAATAATTTTTTTTTTTTTTTTTTTTTTACGTCAATTTGCCATCTCTAACAGCAGGTATTTTGTCTTCTTGTTGCTTTGAATTCCTTACTTTTGAGAATTGATTTTTGAATTTTTGCTTTCAGAATATCATCATTTGTTTTTGAAGAGTTTGTAATATATTGTGCATTCAAGTATTTGAGAAAAAATAATAAAAAAACCTAGATTTTCAAAATGGAAAGGATTGAATAAGAGGAAAGAGATTATACATTAGATGATGGATCCAAGACAATCTACTATCACTAAGAGTATTAAAAAGAAAAATTGTTTAAAGAAATTATAACGAAAGTTATTTATCATTTGGGTTTACCTGGAAACAAGATGAAATGGACCCTCAACCTTAATGCATTGTTAGCAGTGAATTGTTATCCAATCAAAGTATGAAACCATCATTTCTTAAAGAGATCTTGAATTTAAGCATAATTCTGAAGAATATTTTAAGAGAAACTTATCACAATTCAAAAATAGTAAACTAATGAAAGGTTTTGTTCCTTGAAGTGAAAATGTTAACTAGCAAGCCTAAGGAGTTGCCAAAACTAGGCAGGCTACACTATTAGAGAAAACCGTATGTCACCAGTAGCTAAAGATAACATTTTAACATTATTCAATGAAACAAGCAACTAATGAACTTAATAATATTCCATTATCAAATAATAAAATAAGTCAACAAATTCATAAAATAACAAATTCCATAAAAGAGACATTTAAAAAATAAAACACAGTATTTCCAATTGCAATTGGATCAAAGTACTGATATAACTGTTCAATTATTAGTTTACAAACGTTTCAAAGAAGATAAACGAATTGCCAAAGAGTATTTATTTTGTAAATCTCTACATGACAGAGCAACCGCAATGAAATTTTCAAAGTAATTGAGAATTTTATGTCTGAGAATATTCCTTGCAATAAGTGCATTGCCGTATGCAGTGACGGAACTCGCATTTTAACAGGAAAACATTCCATGTTATTTCTCAAATAAAGAAAGTCGCATCTGAAACTAAATTTATGCACTGCTCCATTCATCATAAAGCTTTAGTAGTCAAAACAAGCTGTGAAAATTATCAATTAAAAGCAAAGCTTTAAATTCTAGCATATTTACGATTTTGTGCCAAGAGATGGGTGAACATGAAATTCTTTTGTTATATTCCTAAGTAAGGTGGTTACTTCGAGGCAAAGTTTTAAATCATCTTTTTGAACTTCAATCAGAAATTCAAATTTTTCTCTGTGATTCAAAATTTGAATTGCAAAAATGTTTATTTAGTGAATTACGGTTGGCACATTTAGCATATTTAGTTGATTTTTTGGGAAGTTAAATGAATTAAATTTGGCAAGGAGAAAGACTAATTTGTTTACCATTAGAGATAAAATAAATACAATGATAAAAAATAATTAGCAAATAATCAAAGAACTGGGTAATCATATTTTAAACTTTTTACCCCTTGTAGAAAGTTTTCTTACTGAAAATAAAAGGTTTGGTTTGGTTTGGTTTATTTAATAACGCAAAGCACACCAGGACTATCTGCCTAAGGGGAGGGATGCCTTCGTGGAGGACTTTCTCAGGGAAACTGGCTCATATACATCTTACACATGGGGGAAAACCACGAAAATGCCCATGCAGCCAGCTCGATCACGGGGTTCGAACCTCGGACCGAATTACCAGTGTTCCGCGACTTTACTGCTCGGCCGCTGGTGGGCCCTGAAAATAAAAGAATTAGCATCCAACATTTAAAATCATTGTTTTTAGTGATAAATTATTTCAACATGGATTTATGAAAAGGGAAATTGGGGTATAAATACATTTTGTTGAAATGTACCTGAAATTTTATCTCATGGAGAAAAAGAAAAATTTATAGAAATTTCCTGTGATCAAACTCTAACTGAAGATTCCAAAAATAACACACTTGTTAACTTTTGGATGAACCGAAAAAAGAATTAAAAAATATTTCAAGTAAAACTATTTAATTTTTATTGTCTTTTTGCACTTTGCACAATCTATCTGTGTGAACAGGGATTTTCTTCCATGTCATATTTGAAAAATAAATACAGAACAAAATTAAAAGTGGATAATAAGTTATGGTTAAAACTAAATGAAATAAGACCAGATTTAATAAAGAAATTTATCTCTTAACAGGCCCGTATTTCACACTAAATTTTAGAATTAAAGTATTATAACTTAAATTTTGTTAACTCAAATGGTAACCACATTTTAATGTAATATTTTTTTATGTGCACATATTTAATACAAATTGCCAATACATTGTGCAAATGGCAAAATCCTTTTTTTAAATATTTCTTTTGAAAAATATTCATTGTAAAATGTAGTGGTGGTACAACAAATTTTCAATTTCTGTTTATGCATAAGTGAAAAGGCTGAGAACCGCTGACTTAAGAAATTTTTATTCAGATAAACTGTTTGATACACATATAGATACTTCTGCACCCACCCTGACAAAGCATGAAAAATATTTGAAACAAATTTCTTACAACCTACGAGATAAAAACAGGCCTCTAAGAACATTATATACTTTTATTACCTCTTTACGTTCTAAGAGCAAAAGTCATAAAACAAAACTGTTAGCAAAATGAAAGGGGCTTAAATTTTTACAAACTTTCCTATTTTAAAAATCCCATTCATTTTACCTTGCAATATACCTCATGCAGCCGTATTAACTTCAGAAATGAAGTGAAAATTTACAAAAAAGAAAACCATTAAAACCCCTAGAAATTAATACTAAAATCAATTACTTTTCAGATATTAAATCTTGCTCTTTCAGGTAATTAAAATTTTTGTGAAATTATTCAATAACATAGTACACTTCTTAAATTACATTTTTTAGTTACTACTAAAACAAAAAAAAATATTTATTTCAGATGAGGTCCTTCATTTGTTAGGAGCTCAGTCATTCTTAAGGTCAATTCAAGAAAACATCCTCTTTAGAATACAGTCAAAAATCTTCAATCCAGACGTCCATAATCCGAACCTCAAAGCTACAAACTTTCTGCGCATGCGTAAATGCATATGCATTTATGCGTGCACATAATATGTTTACGCATGTGCGTTTAATGTATAACGGAGACGGTATAAGCTAAGCTAAAATTATCTAATTCAGTTAATGTTGCAGATTGCGTTTTTCCTTAATCTTCGAATTGGATCCGGTTTATTACTTTTTGCAGACTGTTAAGAGCAATTTTATGAAAGTAAGCTTGAACTTTCGATTATGTCAAAAAGAATTTCCGATTCTGGAGCTGCCAAAGGATCTACAAAGCGAAAGCATATTTCGATGTCCATCAAACAAAAGTGGATTTGCTGCAAAAAATGGATAAAGGCATATCCTTTGTTTCTCTAACCATTCTGAAATCTGTTTATCAATTTCATGCTGCTCTGCAGCATAAAGGGGGGGTCATGAGGGGGCGTCGCACATGCAATAAACTGGAAAATGATCTGTCAGCACTATCCTCAGGTTCAGGACAGATATTTTTATTTTATTCGGCTGATAATTCCTTACTAAATGTAGTATTTCATCTCGATGTACTCCGTCTTTGATATGATTTAAATCAAATTCCTCGTCATTATAAATATCACAAATACACATCCAAATAGTTTTCTGGTTGCAATTTTCTTATTTCGACTATGCGTAATGTATGTTTTACGCATGCGCGTGTTGAAAGAAATGTTTACTAAAGTAAACAAATAAATATTAAGCTCTTTTTTTTTTTTTTTTGTAAATTTTGATTCCGTTTAGATCATAATTGCTCTTTATTTCATAAATTATGGTTTTATATTTTTAATTTTTTAATTTCTGCATGCCATCTTATCAGATTGAAATTAATGATCTATAATCCGGAAAGCCGAAGTCCCGACGAGTCCGGTTTAAAGACTTTTGACTGTACATTTCAATCTCTTTAGAACACATATAAACTGTATTTACTTTCTTAATGAATTTTTAATTTTAGCTAGGGATCAATATCATAAAAACAATGCCTACCTGATATGAATTTTAGAAACACTCAAAATCTGCCTATTCATCTCTAACTATCGTACTATTTTTCTCATGTTAAAAATACAATTAATATATGGTTTTAAACCTGAGGTACAAAACATACACAATTCCCCCCCTCAAAAATGGTTTTGAAATATATAAATAGTCAATTTATAAAAATAATTATGATGCGAAAAGAGGAATGTTCGTGTAAATGAAAATCATATGAATGGAGAAATTGACATCTAAAATGTTTTCCGCTTCCATAATGCTCTGATGGAAGCACTGTAAACGACATCTTGGAAAAGTGTATTTTTTATTCAAATATCAAGAAAAGTTCATTTACAGAAATACATACATTCTCATATTTGAACAAATATACAAGTCAAAAATTTATTAAAGTCATTCCTCATAATGAAAAACACTTGGCAATTTTCTTAAATAATATTAAATTACTCAGTTATTAATAAAGCCTTTTTCTTGTGCTGTCTTGGCTTCGCTGGAAGACCATCACACCACCAATGATGCAGACACAAAGTCCTAGGAGAGCACATACAATTATCAGAAATAACTTTGTCCCAGACATAGGAGGTGGAGGATCATCTACATGATCTGTAAAATAAGCATTATATTTTAATTTCAGTATGCAACCTCCAAATATAACATTGGCAAACATAAATGAGTTTCAGAACAAGTTTGCAACATATTACATAGGAAATTTTTTGAATTATATGCACATATCTGCAAGGTTTTCAAAAATGTTGCAGCAAGCTTTTTTTCTTTATATTTTGATGAACAATGTGTTCTTTCAATTACAAAGTTTCTCAAAATAGGCAAAACTATTATGAAAACTGTTTCAGCTCCTGCAGCGGGAGAATTCTACAAAATCACAGCAAATTGTCAAACAGCAAAATTCGTATTGTATGCATGTTCCATACATTGATTGCAAAATTTTTCACAAATATTCGAGAAGAAATTCCTTGACATTAGGTGCTCATTATTGGGCAAAATAATATAGTAAAAGTCTGAAATTTGGATGTCCAATTTTTGGAACTTCAGTAAAAATTTTCTTTTCCATACGAAATATAGGAATGGAGACTATAATACTCAAGAACAATCAGATGTGGTGTAAAAGCAATTTTTCTTTGACTAATTGAGATTCCTGATGTCACTCTTAAACACCTGCTAGCTACGGAATCACATTGTGGCCAATGAGAATACTTTGACTGACACTGTACTGATGATGATCACCACTATATTTATGGCTCATGAGTGGCTGTGCATTTTTTATGTGATTTAAACAATAAATGAAACCCAAAGACATATTTAATTGGAATGAAATGTTGCTCGTACAGGTTTTATTTTCTTGGCAGCAAGGAAAGAATCAGATTCTGAGGTACTTACGTTCAGTTAATATAGCAATTTTTCCATGGTATTATTATTATTATTATTATTACTACAACTATCTAATAAAAGTTTCATGTTAAGCATTCCTAATTCTGCACCTGATGCAAGATCTGCAAAGTGAAAGCATCTTCCCGTGCCAAACAAAGCAAAAAGGTTGAATTGCTGGGGGAATGGGGTGAAAAAGAATAATAGCGTATCTGTTTTAAATTTTTGTTAGGAGTGGGGCAATGAACAATCAAAAGCATACAAGTTTTTTTTTTAAGGAACATTTTGAAGATTTTGACCTCACAATGAACTCATTCATTGTGCTAAAAATGATAATAATGACAAAGTGATGATTGCATACATAAGACAGCACTGCAGTGATGGCATATCACTGAGAAGTCCAATGCTGATGGCTCAAGTCAAAATATTTCATAAATTAAGCACACATACTCAAGAGGTAATTAACCAAATTTTAAAAACGATCTGTACAAAGCAGTTAAGAATTTGAACAAAAGCTTTAGTTCATACTGAAGTAACCAAAAATTTTTCAAATGAATTCATTGAACTCATGAATATTGAAAAGTAAGTTATCTCCAGAAAAGTTATTAATACTGAGAAATCTGGGCTTTTCTGATAATATAAGCCCCTAAATACCTAGTCACTTTCTGCAGAAAGGCCTTGATGTGTGTCAAAGACCCTTAAATGATAATAAAGATTTTGCCACGTGCAAATGCTGTGTTCCGGTGCACCGGAACAGAACAACTCAACCTGACTCTTTCGCATTTGGAACTATGCCAAAGAATATTGAATTCAGTTGAACAGTCAGACTCAGACGAACGCATTCGCAAGGCAGCTGGAATGCTGTCTATTTTTCATTATTTTTGTTCTGTTTTATATGTCATAAGTTTTATATGTCATTTTCTTGTTTATACTTGCATTGTGCAATTATTTAATATAAGTTTTGTGTTTAAAACGAGGACGTGTATTGAGTTTATTCACATTACATCATAACATGCTGCAAGAATGCCCAATGTGTCTCTTCATAATCGGTAATACTAAACGATTTTGGATATTTAATGTAGTACAGATTTTTCCTCGTCATTGATTATTCAAATAGAACAGCATGGATGACACAAACATTAATCATGAACAACATACCATGAATGATTTGAAATCATTTCATTCCTGAGGTTAGGCAAAATATGAAATCAGATGTTACCAGATGATGCAAAAACAACTGTTCAACTCATACTTCACTTAAAAGTTCCAGTATAGGATAACATTTCTGTCTCATTCCTTCTTCCAAATTATATATTCAGCCAATGGATATAAGGATTGCTGAACATGCCAGCTACCATTTTTCGAAAATGATGATAATAGCTATGAATTTAAAGATTTTTAGATATAAGCAAAATGCATAAATTTTGTAACAAAGTAAATGAAGAAATATGCAGAAATGATTATAAATGAAAGTGCTATAACAAAAGTTCTTCATTGTAATAACAATGCCCCAATTATCAATCAACTAACAAATGGTGAAATTCAGAAATATGATATACATCTTCCAGGCTTCTTTCATTAGTGAAGGGTTCTTTCAGTCAAAATTGCAAAGAAATTTTGACAGGTAGTCTTCAAAATTCCTTAATGATGTAAGAAATAGGCTAATAATAATAATAAAAAATAGACTGGAAACTACAAATTTTGAGACATACCAACTGATTTACACTGAAAATAAGACTATTCTAAGAAATGCACATATACAAGCATCAAATTAACAAAACAGTTACATGAAAATAATATATTAAGAAACTATACCTCTTGGAGGCGCAAAAAAAGCAGCTTCAGGTGCAATTTTTGATCGATCTTCTTCCTAAATTAACAAAAATTCTACCCTTAAAATTCTTTCTTTTTTTCTGATTAATATAAACTACATTAAGTTACATTTTCATTTCTTTGAAAACTACTGAATTTCTTTATCCAGATGTAAAGAAATCAAAATTTAAACATGAAAATTTCTTTTCAAAATACATTTTTAAAATAAGTCAATCTTATCTGTGGTTTAACATTTAGGATATGCAAAAGCAATGGCCTAGATTAAAACTCTAGGTTAATGAATGCAAAAGTTAAGCATGATTAAATGATGAGACTCAGTTTTATTTTTAATCTTCTAACAAACTGCTCTTAAACTCAGTTTCTAAAATATTTTAAAAAATGGTCAGAATGATGAAAAGGTACATATACCATATTACCCTGAACATAAGGTGCCATAAGTGCACAAGTTGTTCGTTAAGACTGCTGAATAATGGTAGTTTGATCTGGTTCCAACTGTAAGAATGAGCTGCCTGCATGGTTAGATTTCATGGGTTCTGTACATGTTACGTGAATACGAGACAGATTCCCTCAGAAAATCATCTACAAGGCATCCCCTCCCTCAGTAAACCTAACCAACCCTGACAATAAGACCTAATAAAAAAAGACCTTAATATGGTTTTTCAAGATGCTCCTAATATAAGCCCTAGTTAGCCAAGTCATCAGTCAGACTTGCAGCCAATTGACCTATCAGAGTGCAAACTAAATGCATGTGTAGACATTACAACTGGATAATGTTGTAAGTATTTAGAATCTTTATAATTTAATACATTGCAATGCACATGTTTAACTCTTTCGCATCGAAGTCACCCGTAACGCCCGTTCATTCAGACAACGGCAAACCGCCCCAACGCCTCGTTTATTTTCTACCTAGTGCTTTCCCCCTCCATGTTAGTGTATGGCTCATTGGTTTTGCGAGTTGTTAAGAAACATGTCAATCATTCTTTTGAAGCAACTAAAGGAGACATACGGAAAGCTATTAACGTTCACAGGTGCAATCCAGCTCTAAGGTGAAACTGCACACAATGGATGAAACCGCAGAAAAACCCCCAAAGAGAAAAGCAGCCATTTCACTTAAGTAGATTATTGTTAATGCTGTAGCTATATCTACCAGGCAGGGGGAAAGGAAAACTATTCCAAGACAAATTCGTAAACACAGGCATTTTCGATGTTTGATAAAAACAGATTTGATCGTCTCTCGATGCGAAAGAGTCATGATCGTCACTCATGCAAAATTTTTTTTTTTTTTTTTTTTAATTTTCAGTCCACAATTTTTTGCTGCTTTTATGCAGTTCTTAACACCTTTTGTTGCCACTCAGTATAATTAAAACTAGACTTAATTAGAAATTTAAAGGGAATAAAATTTTGATCGCTAAAAAAGATGTATGTAAGAAACAAAAGCTATTTCACCAGGCACAAGAATAGAATCATGGAGAACTCCCATGCTTACAATAGCACCAATGTCGGAGTTAACCCCAGAATTCAAAGCATCAGAATATTGAATGGATCGTGTCCTTTAGCACCGTATCTAATATTTCTAAAATCAACAGCTCAGTGCAAGCATGAAAATATTAAAATTTATTGACTGTGCACTTAAGAGGCTTGCCAATCTATTCCAACCATAGCTTTCGAAAGCGCTAAGCCCCCCCTTAAAAAAATGGAAGTTAGACATCTTCCAGGTATTCATGTTCTTAAAACCAAAAGACTAATGCACACTAGAAAAATATAAAGAAATGGGTCAACTTAATGCTATCACTTATTTTCCAAAACAGTTAAGAAGTATGCTAGTATGGGATTCGACCAGCAGTCAACACACTAGAGATATGAATTTCTTTGTAGAAAGAATAAGCTGAAAAATGATTCTCATAAAAATCTATTTCCAGGCCATTTATGTTTCAATAAAAAGCTATTCAAGGACCATTTGAACATGGAAATCAAAGACTACAATGAAAACAGAATTGAAAGAAATCAAGGGCACTTTGAGAAAACTAGTCTGCAAGAGGTCACAGCCTGGGTTAAAACATCATGAGATGCACATATACAAAGCAATGCATTGCAAGACAGCAAATGACAGCTGTCTTGCAATGCATTATGAGTTGGCTACACAGACAAGAAGCATTCATTTAAACAGAGCTTCATTGCGAGACATAAGAGATTACTGCCAATGGTTCTATAGCAAATGGAATTATAAGAAATTCAAGCTGGAATTAGAGGTCTGGAACTTTATAACAATGTTCAAAAGACAATGACATACAGGGGTTGGACAAAAATATGGAAACACCTTTAAAAAACATGTTTCTTTGCTTAATATGGTGTAGGAAACCCGTTGGCATCCAAAACAGCTTGCAGTCTTCTTGGAATGGATAAATACAGTTCCTGTATGTTTTGCCAAGGGAATATTATACCATTCTTCCTGCAAAAACGGTGGCAAGTTCAGATAACGATGTTGGCGTGGGATAACGAGAACGAACTTCCGTTCCAATGTAGACCACAAAGGTTCGATAATATTCAGGTCTGGTAACTGTGGTGGCCAGGGGAGATGGGACAACTCATCCTTGTGCTCAGAAAACCAGTCCTGGACAATGTGAGCTGTGTGAACAGGGGCTTTGTCATCTTGGAAGACACCATCACCATCGGGGAACAAAGTTTGTACCATGGGATGAACTTGATCGACCAAAATGTTCACATAAGTCTTGGCAGTCATGTGCCCTGACACAGTTATCATGGGGCTAGCAGAGAACCATGATATGGCTGCCGAAACCATAACAGAACCCCCGCCATGTTTCTCTCTTGGCAACAAGCAGTCTGTACTATAGACTTGAGATGGCGTTCTCCAGACGTAAACTCAGCCAGAAGTGGGAAACAATGTGAAAGAAGACTCATCAGACCATATTACTCGCTTCCACAGCTCTATAGTCCAGGCTTTATGACTTAAACACCACCTTTTCCTGTTACGAGCATTAGCATCACTGATGAGTGGCTTCTCAATTGCAGCACGGCCAGCAATTCTCTGTTTATGAAGCTCCCTTCTAATTGTTTTGGTACTCACAGTGTTCGGTAACACAACATTCATTTCAGCAGTAACTTTTGCAGCTGTGGTCTCTTAGTTTCGTCACAATTGCCCTTAATGATCGTCTGTCACGATCACTCAGGACACACTTTCGTCCGCTCTGTGATTTAGCAGATTATGTTTTCCGCTTTTCAAATATGTGGAATAAATCTTCGATACAGTAGTACCTCTTGAAAACACTAGACACCTCGGCTACCTTGCTTACGAAGCACCTACCATACGTGCTCCAACAATTTACCCACGTTCGAATTCTGTTAACTCTGACATAATGCAATGACAACCTCACCCCTTAACAGTACTCCGACAACAAATGAACTGTTTTAGCACATTTACGAAGTTGATAGGTGGCGTCAGTAGTCAAAACGCCAGCACACCTACATATTTCATTAAAATCAAATTCTTTCTTTTCAAACATGCACTTCACAAGGTGTTTCCATATTTTTGTCCATCCACTGTAACTGTACTCTAATAAATTTAAACTTCTGTGCATGAATAAATGACTAAATATAAATACTTGAATATATCAATACATGTAGAATGTTGTAAACAGATAAGTACTTTAGCTGTGTATAAAAAAGGTATCCACTGAATATGCCTTAATATGTCCTTTGGAGCAATAATTAATTCAAGACCTGATTTTGTTTCCAGGGAAACATGGTAAGTACCAGTAAAAAATAATTACCATCAGATTGCAGGTTGATGGTAATTACATTTTATTACTGCAATTGGTAGATATCTTTATGGAAAAAAAAGGGTCTAGCCTGGTAAAGAAACCAATAAGTCCCATAGGAAAAAAAAAAAAAATTATTACACAATTAACAGTGATATGTAATCATTACAGTGTTCAGCAGCATACTAAACTGCTGACAATACCACAATGATAGATAAAATTAATAAGTATCATCATTTTCCTTGAATAACAAACAAAAGCTTCATAGCACAAGCTGCAACTTTGAGTAAATGCTAAACATTTGCACTGAAAATTCATTTGCTTTGATTCTAAGTTAAAGAAAACATTAAATTTCATCTTCCATCACTAATTTGGAAAAAAAAGGCTAGAATACTTGGATATCACCAAATACCCCAACAAATGTACGCCAATTCAATCCTAGCTCATTTGAAAACTTTAGCACGAATTCTGCACACACACACACTCAATTCTCTCTCACTTATACTACCTCTTCTCATCTGCAGCTATCCACATTGTCAATGCTCACACTGAATTTCTATTAACAAGATACAGTCCACTCTACATTCAAATTTTCCACATTCATTCAATTATTTTCAAGCATTCAGGCATAACAATTAATTATATCTCAGTGGTTGGATACGATCATTCAACAGGCTTTCATAACTTTAAAATTCCATTTATGAACAATTTTCATGAAATGCATATGATCCCATGTATTCACTTACTGAAGAATTTCACAGCTGAAATATTTTAAAGCAACACATTTATGAAACATTTTTATAATACATGGGAGCTAATGCACACTATTCTACATGGCAATTTGCCTCATACGACATCATAAACCTGTTTCTCAGAAAAAAATTGGTATGGTCAAGGCAACATTAAAAAGTTATTGGTTACTTAATATCCTTATACAGAGAATTTTTAACTGTTATTGACACTTTTATTTGATGAAACCAAATATTTATATTTTGGTTGCAAAGCAATTTCAAGATTGAATTGACCACAATAAATATGTAAATAAATAAAATAGGAAATTTTTAAATGTTCGGATATTTTACAGCCTTTTGGGATGTTTTCTACATAAAACAATTTAAAGCAGTTTAATAATCAGCTCTTTAAGCATCCCATCACCTTGATTCTCAAAAACTCATAACAAAGTGTTGTCTCCTGTTTTACATTCATATTTCCATGATTTGAGCTATGTTCGGGGACATTTCAGTTTTGGTAAATGGCGGTACTGCCTTTTTCTGACCTTGAATTACTTGCATTGTTCTAAGCCACCCTCAGAAAACTAAAGACAAAACAACTCATGTCTATGAGGCATTTCATTCCATTCTATTTTAGTGATGGAATAAAGGGATTCACCTGTCATTTCTAACTGAATCATCTTCCCTGAAGTTTAGGTTTTTGCACAAGTATTTGTACCATATCATAAAAATACCTTGCCAAAAGAGAAGGGAACAAAACAATGTCACAACGCAGAACAGATTCAATGGATTATAAAATTTAGAAAGAATTACAACGGATTTAGGTATTGGACAGCTGAGTGTAGGTTGAGAAAAGAGATCACAGAATGAGCAGTAGTGTATAAAATGAGCTTGCGATGAAATTTTAAAGAAAATAAAAAGCATGAAACTCATTATATGTGTAGAAGTGAGCAATACCTTATGCAGATGATTTCAGCAGAAAAAAAAGCACAAAGAATATCCAGAGTAGGCAAATTTTCCAAGAAAAGCCCTTAAATTTTATGAAACAATTTAAGATGGAGAGGATGCATTTACTGCTATTGCTGACAGACTGAACAGAAGTGGTATGATCACAGATAGATGAATATTAGCAAAGAAAAGCTTTCCAATAGCATAAAAAATGCTTGCACATTAAAGAACAATGTTAGCACATTGACAAGGTCTCTCTGGTGGCGAAATTTTGGTGTGCAATGACACTGGCTGGACTTTACAAATGTTACCTTCAAGAATACTTGCATTTACAGAAAATAAATCTGCTACTTTCTATAACTGAGAGTGCTGCTTTTAGGAAAAGCAAATTTTCTCATAGCATTAAAAAATTTTAAAAGAATAAATGTTATGCTGACCTGACTGTTTGGTAAAAAGCTTGTCAAATGCATAGTTGTTTAGAACAATGTTTAAACATTGTTTTTTCTCATACTTCGTTTTTCAATGAACAAAATTTATGAAACTCCAAAATATGCCATAGAAAGGAGTTTTCAATATAGAAAATGCTTCATCATTTCCCGACACCAAACAGATTATGCAGAGATGGAAGTACGAGTGCCATTTTTACCCCTCTAACTGCACAGTTAACCAAAGATAAAGTGTGTGTAAAGAGGAGTGAAAGAAAAAATACAAGTACAGACTTATTTTAACACTTGCTTTACACATGGAGAAAGGGAAAGCTATAACTGAAATGTTACCATAAATTTACTTCCTGGATCCAGCTAAACCTTGGCATGATATTCAAAAAATAGCCTTGCTTATTAAGAAAGAAAATTGTCTCAAAGTTCAGAAAATGAAACCCAAGTGAAAGCAGAAAAAAGACAGAGCATGCAGATTTAATTATCTTTTTCTAGGTGTTAGAAATGCATTAATTGCCAAATGTGAAAGAACAAATACTCAAGCAAAAGCTAGCTGTAATAATTTAAAACATGCTATCATCTTTCATCGTGATTTTTTTAATGTGCTTGATAATGAGTTAGTTTCTTTTAACTTTACATGCCTATAAGAGTGGCTTTTGTATCAAACTTCAGTGCACGTTACTGACAACAATCATCTGCTGCAATTACACTCTGAAATTCAAATGATTCTGAATGAACAAAGATGTTTTTAGTATAAATACAATATATATATATATAATTCATACATTCACGAAATTGGTAAATATGACTTGAAAAACATGTTACTAAGAATGACGACACCAAAATGTTATACTTTAGTGAAATCTTTTAGCAATACTTAAAGAACAAGTGATGCAAAGCATACCAACTGAAATATTCTAATAAAAAAAATTCATGAGCTGAATAAAAGCAAAAAATCATGAGCTAAGAAATTTTGAAAAACTTGAAAGCACTATAGCAAATAAAAGAATTCCTTAAAAGAGATTCAAAAAGGTCTACTTTAAAAAAAAAAGTATGGGTGGATTAAAAGGGATAAAATGCAGAAGTGCTGACTTTCAAATTATACTGATTCAATCATACACAGTTTATGATAAAAGGAAAAGATGCAATGAATGTAATAAATTAACTGTCAAGTTTGTTTCAATAGCTGCTATAGATTTAGAATTATTGAGAAAGCTAAACTTAAATTTAAAAATGTCATTAATTACAAAACATAGAAATTTTTTTTTATGAATACCGTACACAGAAAATATGATGATGAATGTATTGCATATCTAAAATATATGAACTCTTCAATATGCTAAGTATAATTTCCACAATCATTATGCAGCTGACTGTTGAGAAGTAAAATTACAAGTTTACAAAGGGGAAAAAAAAATTGAGCAGCTTACCTTTTCATCAGGTACTTCTAATTCAAATAACCGTATAGAAATGATATCATGATTATCTATAAAGGAAAGAATTATATGTTCAGAGCTTGAATACACTCTACACAGGTTACAAGCATATTCTATGAACGTTTATTATGGATTTAAATTGAAATAAAAAGTTTAGTAAATTCAAACAATATCGTTATCTAATAATTAAAACAATCAAAATTTGTTCACATTCCCTTTTTCCCTTTTATTCTGGGCCTCTCTCTGTAAAAATTATTGCCTCAAACATGACTGTTTATGATCTGTTAAATACCTTAATTTCATTATGGAATACCTTATGGAGGTAGGCATTATGAAACATTTGCACAACATTTGTCTTTGGTAACACCACTGAAGGTCACTTGATGAAACATATGGAAGCAAATGATCTGCAAGTTTATCCTCTGTTCTAATTTTATCCTCTCACAGAAGAAAGTTTTGACATTGGAACATGATATCAAGAGCAGTCATTTACTTAATATGCTCACAGGGAATGTACGACATGGTAAGGGCCATAAGTAACATTACTTTCATATTGATATATAGGATGGATATCATTCTGAGAAACAATGTTTTTATGGTTTGCAAGCAGCAAGATAAATATTACTTAAAATTCACCTTATTAAGAAAGCACACAAATAAAGTTCTGTTTATTCTTTCGGCCAAAAATAAAAGGTAAAACTTTATACTCAATATGCAAATTTTAGGGCAAACACTTCTAATCAGTATAGATAAGTAAAAAATTATATATATATTGATTAGAAGCGTTTGCCCTAAAATTCACTTTGTAATCTAAAATTTATTTCACGATGCATTTTCAACTAAATTACAAAAATATCATGAACTAGATATTACTAGAGACGAATTCCAATCAATTCCTATCTTGTGGAATAATTTGAAAGTAAGAACTAATTAGTATTACAGAAATCGCAGCATATTAGACATGTCCTTCCCTCACCAAATGCTACAGCGCTTGCCATGAAAAGCAGGTTGTATGAGATCTACTCATAACGTCACAGTTCCTCCTGGTTTCAGAGTCAATGTCAGCTTTTTATCAATGCATTGCTTTATCAGAACTATACACAAAGGGCATAACCGGAAATTACACATCCCAATGCTGCCACATGATTTTTAACTTTTTTTAATCAGCATTATGCATTACCATTTCAGAGTATCTTGAATGTCCATCACATGTGGCTTCATTCAACTCACTGCTTTTTCTTGTTTGTGAAGTTTTAAATTGAAAAGTGAAATAATATTAATAATATCATTTATAATAATGTCTGCATATATTTCATGAATGAAAGAGTAATTTAATACACAATGGTAAGAAAAATTAATAGAACAACTATCAAAACTCATGTAACTTGCACAAGATCTTTGTCATGCCGGACATATCTTCAAAATGAAAATTGCCTATTTTTGCACAAAATAAATTTTAAAAAGAGCACAGGAACTGTGATATAAAGTGGAATATAAAAATACGGTATTATAACTTTAGACACCTTTAGAGACAGAAAGGGAAAAAAAAGTGTGGTCACCTCTGACCAAAATGCAATCTTTATAATGATTTTCTATGCTGTGCATTAAGCTGTCCAGCAGCTTCTTCAGTACTAAAACACATTCCCAATAAATTGTGCCTTGAAGTTTTTGGAGAATACTAGGTGGGGGTACAATGATGAAGTCAGCATCCTAATGGATCATACACATTATGATGGGGTCAAATCCAGAGAATCTAGTTTACTGTGGAACATTTTCAACCTTAACCTAGTTGTCTACATACACTGCACCATAATCATCTCACAGTTTCTAGATTCTTGAGATAATGTTTTTGTCTACTTTTAGGTCTTCAAAAGCCTGTGTAAGTGTCTATCCAAGCTTCCATTCTTTCAGTCACTTGCCATTTCTCACAATCTATCAAATGAGCTATCAATGACATGTTCCATCTTCCACATGCAAACGTTTTACACAACTACATAACAAAAAGCCAGTTTTCCTCAAATTGCCCTCCACAGAGGTATTCCTTCCCCTAAAAAAGACAACCCATATGTGTCTAGCAACATTCAATTACAATATTTATGTTAGCAGCCGACAGCTTTTATGGGTACTTACGTATTATCGCAACCAGGTTGGCGTGATTTGTAAATTTGAGTAAAAAAGTATGAATAGAAAGAAAATGTACATTTATTAATTACAGATAATTTTTAATACAGTTTTTTATATTATTTTAAAATATAAAATAGCAATTAAACCCTTCCGATTTCGAATTTGAATAAGTTGCAGAATTATTTTTTCGGCGGAAATCTTTTGGCTATTGCTTTTAGCACTGATTGAAAACCGTCTTCGCCATTAACAGATTGAGCTTGGCACCATATAAATTCGATAAGGTATGAGTAAAGATGATGACGGGCTGTTCCTCTCTGTTTTTTGTTGTGCCATTTGGCTGAGCCCCACATGCGCTCTACATGTTGTGTGTGAACGCCCGTGTTGGGATCCACAAAGTATATTTGTGATTAACAGTTCCATGCAGAAATCCAGCATTTTCGAACTCACTTGTATTGTATCCTTTCCAGCAATCTGAATAAATGATGCTTCCTTCCTTGATATTTTCGCAAATTTTTTCCATGAGGGTAACGGCGCTTTTGTTAGGTACAGTAACCAAAAAAGTCTCTTTCTTTTCTCGGCAAATTTCGCCGAAAACCCATTGCTGTGGTAGTACACGCCCAGTGTTATTTTTTCTTTTACAAATAAATTCTTTTTACAAAACTACGTATAACACGTAGGGTTGGAGTAAGTAGGGTCGCCAAATTTGGTGATTTATGCGAATTTTGGCCTGGTTGCGTTAATACGTAAGTACCCTTTTATGCAGCAAGGAGTTTGCGAAAGGCCATTATGATAAGTGTTCGAGGAGGCCCCATCTGTTGCTAACTGATGGCAACACAATGCTGAAAGTTGATCGACATGAGTAACTCAAGGACATTTCCTGAGCCCTTAGAGTACCAGATGGTTTCATGACTGTGGGTGCCTAAGCAGTCGAATAACATGATGAAGGCAAGCAAATGATTGCTTCCCTGAATCATCTGCAATGATATGCCAGGGAAGGTGAAAAGTTTCTTGGACTGCACTGTTACTGGCAATGAAACATTGGATACCACATTTCATGCCCGAATCGAAGCAATAGAGCATACTGTAGAAACATACAGGTTCACCTGTGACAAAAAAATTCAGTTTCATGCCATCTGTTGCAAAAGTGATGTTAACACTCATCTGGGATCAACCTAGACTGCAGCTCCTCGATTTCATGACATAAAATGCAACCATCAATGGCAACATTCATTGTTCCATTAGTGTCACATTTGCAGGCTGCCATCAGGTGAAAGCGCCAAAGGATTCTAGATGCAGACAACATGGTTATCCTTCATGACAATGAGAGACCACATGTGGCAATCAGAACTGCCGACAAGCTCGGGCCATTGCACTGGGACAGTTTGGGCCATTCATCGTACAGTGCAGACCTTCTCCTACTGCTTTCCATGTTTTCAGTTCACTGAAGAAGTTCTTGGCAGGACAGCAATTCACATGTAATGATGAAGCCAAGACAGCTATCCAATGGTGATTCCTCAGTCAGCAGGACGAATTCTACCACTGGGTATCTCAAATTTAGTGCTGCCATGGGACAAATGCCTGAACCGGTGTTGGAATTATGTCGAAAAATAATTAGGTAGATCGAATAGTAGGTATATATCTGTAATTACCCATATATACCTTAGTTTGGCTGATAAAAAATAGGAGCAAAGAATTTCAGATTTGGCCCCGTAACTATGGTGGTCACGAGCAGGTTAGATACAACAATTCAAACTTAATATAACAGAAATATTTCTCAGTGTCACATAAACATGACATCATTTAACCAGTGACTGCCAACTTATAGGATTTAGGAAGCCATAATAACTAAAAAATGCACATTCTTGGACTTGGAACATCAACAGTCAAGTGATGCAATTCTATGCAGCATCTTCAAAGCTGCTCCTCCACAGATGAATGGAAGTGAATAAAAATTACACAAAAATTTTCTTTTTAACACTATAACTGCTGTTACAAACATTTGACTTCATTAACCAGCAACATGCAGATGTGACTTCATAATACTGGCAATTATTGGCCACTATCATGCATAAATGAGTTCAGAAGGCAGTGTCTATGAGCTGGCATCATGTCAATGTGTCAAGTTATTTGCCAGTATCACATAAATACTGACATAATTCAACCAATTAGTAGTTGTTGCAACATATGCACGATTTTGGAAGCCGGTGATTTCAAATGGCATCTTAATAATGAGACTTTTCTCTTCCAGCAATTATTTCTCAGTGTCACATAAACATGACATCATTCAACAAGTGACTGCCAACTTATAGGATTTAGGAAGCCGGTGAATAATTAGATAGCTTCCATGTTAACATCTTTACTTAACAACAATTTTCAGCCAGTGACGTGAATGACTATTTGCCAGCATTTGTCAGCTGGTATACTTTATTTATGCCTATTTGCTAGCATTAAATATATGATTTATTTGAAACTTTCAGACAATCTTCTGGCATTTCTGTCTTAGTTTTCTAAAGCATAATCAAAATACTATATTGCTAAGTGGCTTTATAAAACAACTGTTTTAAAATTCCTTTCTATAGAAGTCAATTCTGACTTGAATATTAGGATCAAAATGCAAACAGAGCTGACAGCAGACAATAACATTTATACAAGTGAATGCTGGCAGATGGTAAGAGTCCTAGACTAATATGGGCAGATTAAATTGACTAAAAGAGGTGGAAGTGAACAAAATTTTCATTCTATGTTAACTAAAAAATGAATTTCCATTATAAAATTATATCATACAAAAACAAAAGTAACAGCACATATTATGCACATTTATAAGAGTTCTAATATCTGCTCAATAATCGGACACAATATCATTGCTTCATAAAAAGTCTCTCTGGTAACATAAAAGTTGAACATTTTTATTAAAAAGAGGTTATAT